CAGCCACAGCCAGGAGCACAAGGGGCAGGTGGTCTTCCCTGAAACCTGTCGGTGGAGCCAGAGACACCAGGCTCAGGAGAAGGAGCCTGGGAGGAGACGGGGCTGGGACAGCAGGGCTCAGAGGACAGCAGGAGGAGCCAGCACTGTGCCAAGCATGGGCTCGCTGGGCACCTTGGCGATGTGTGCAGAGAAGCAGCAGGCACGGAGACCCCGGAGGTGCCAGGAAGAATGGGTCACAGGTGGGAGATTCTATGCCTCCGCCTCCTTCCAGAACATTCTCTGGGCTGGTACCTAGGGAAGCGCTGGGAGGTCCAGGGCAGGCTCCTTCCGGGAGGAGGAGCCCGGGTCAGGAGCGGAGGCCCGGGCTCAGGCAGCCGGGAGGGTTCCAATCTGGCCCGGCCAATGCCACGTGCTTCACCAACGTCCACTTCTCCACTTTCTTGCCAGCGAGACTCGCTTATGCTGGGAGCAGCCGTGTGGTCAGCTAAGTCACACTCCTCCAGCTGACTCCCAGGTGGGATAACCAAGAAGCCCTGTTCTGGAGTGGTAAAACGCTGAGCCTTGCTGACACAGGGGCCTCCCCTTCCTGACTTCTCTTCCTTCTTCGGCCTGTCTGGAACTCGAGTGTGATCTTTAGAGCTGCAGCAGCCACCTCACAACTGTGTGGTACAAGCCTGGAGACAGTGCATAGCCTGGACTCTGAGGAGGAGAGAGCGAACAGAGGGAAGGCACTTGAGATGTCACTGCCGAGTGACCGAGCGACCGTGCCACCCTGCACACCCACATTTGGATTGGTTGTCACGACACTGCGTTGTCTGCAAATTAGCCATTCTGACTGGCACTGTGGGTAAGTGTGGGTGTGAAAGGGCCAACAGAGGGATCAGGATGAAGAGTTGCTGCCGTGCGCTGTGGGACAGGTGCGTTTGGAGGTGGGATGCTTTCCATTGCTGACTCAAAGGTGGAGTGACCACGGGAGCGTGTGGCTGAGACCGGGCAAGACCAGTGTCATTGAAACTGAGAGCGCTGAGATGTTGGACATCATCCCCATGGCGACAGGCAAGGCTGTGGAGAGTGACAGGAGCCAGTAGGACCGGGCTAGGTCGGTGGGGCCTGGTGGGAGGCACGGCCGTGGGGAGGCAGATGGTGTGGATCTCAGTGGAGCTTGCTTGGAAATTGCTTTCAAATGGCAGTGAGGAACCAGGACACGATCTTACCTCAGGACCCCGAGGAAAAGGAGAGGGGACAGTTCTTTGTGAGAGGGTGGAGGGAGGCTGTGTCCTCAGGGAACAGCCAGGCTTCCATTAAGGACCGGAGGTGAGAGACACTGGAGAGAAGAGGTTGTGAGTGTAGCAGAGCTGGCTGGCGGTGGACCATGAGTTCGAGGCCCCTGGAAGGATCAAGGAAGTCCAGGTCAGCTCCACAGTGCAGTGTAGAAATGAAGTACGTGCGTCAGGAGCCTGCTAGGCCTGGCTTCGGGCTCTGAGATGAGTGGAGGCAGGAAACACCTGTGACCCCAGGCGTCTCTGAGGAAGGTCTGGTCCAGCAGGAACGTACACACAGCAGCCAAGGAGAGCTCTTCCATGGGCTTGATCTAGGTAGCTTGCGTGGTGAGCTCAGCTCCAAAGGGGTGGTCACCATCTGCCAAGGGGTGGCCGTCTCCAGAGACCCTTGTACTGGCTTCCGTTCTGTTGGTTGATTGTTCCCAGAGGCAGATTGCCTGGATTTCATAACTGTGCTATTACTTGCTGTGAGACCTTAGGAAGTTACTCAACTTCTCATGTATAAAGACAAGGATGAGCATAGTACCTATCTCACTGGATTGTGGTGATGATTAAATGATATAATAAATTTAAGCACTTAGGAATGTGCCTGGTTCCTAATAAACATGAGAAAAAATATGAGCATCTTAAAGGAAAGGACGATCCCTTTGCGAGGTAAGATGATCGATCGCTGTCAGCCCTTAGCCCCTTACCCCAGCAAACATGTGGTCCTTGATCGGGGGTGCAGATGCCCCGGGGAGGCCAGGTTCCTTTGCCACAGGCAGAAGGTTCCCGTCCCTCCACGCGTCTCTATATCCAGGGCTGGCAACTACTGGGGCTTGCTCAGGGCAGGTTAGAGATCCTAGCTACAGCACCAGCCAGGCCACCTGAGACCCTGAAGGACTCCAGTTGGAGGCCAGAAAATATGGTAAATGTTTGCATTGTAAAATGTAGTATGGTAATGGACACATGGCTATTAACTCCCCCTCAGAATACTCAATATCTTCCTCCTCACTGCAAACACACTCATCCCGTCATTCCTGCAGCTTTCTGCAGCAGTTCTGAAGCCCTCTTTCCTGAGGGTCTTAACTTAACTTGCACTGTCCTGGCTGCTCCATGTCTGGAATGGATTCAAAACATCTCCCTTTCACAGTCATTTTGGCTCTGGGGAAGAGCCGGAAGTCACATGGTGCCAGATGGTGGGGGGCCAGTGAGGTGGGTGAGGACAGTACAGTGTCATGTTTCTATGAGCCTGTCTTTCCATTGGATGGTGCTCGGTGCAACACTCAGGTATTTTGATCCCACCTGGTAGACCTCCCAGCCCCAGCCTGCTGTATTCCTGGGGAGTTCTGTGGGCGTTCGGCCACCCTCCTCCTGCTGCCCTGCCATCTTTATGGAATGCAGCAACAGAGCTGGACACCTGCCCACCCCTCCCTGGCCACAGCCATCAGCCCCAGGCTCCGGAGCACTGCCCATGCTCCAGGCACCCACTTCAGGCCATTGTGGTCCATCTCTTCCAGGGACGGCCCCCGAAGCTGCTCCCACCACTCCACAGTGTGGCCAGAGTGACCCCGGATTTCCTGGCATGGCTCTCCTGCTTCTGTCCGCTGGTGTGGCTCTCACTTTCCTGCGAGGCCTGCGTGACACCAGCTCCTAGCCCGGAGCACCTGCACTTTGTCCTGCTGCCCCCTGGGCTGTGTTCACCCTGGACTGTCCCCTTCCACAGGACAGGATCCGCGTCCTTCACAACTGCCCACAGAGCCTGCCGAGGGCAGAGCCATGCTGAGCCACACATGCACCATGAGGGGCACCCTCCCTCTTAGGGTTAGTGTTAAATCCAAGCAAGCGTGTTCTTGAAGCATGAGAGACTCAGAAAAACTCACAAAGCTTGTGTGCACAGCTGTTACTTTTCCCAAACACTCCCACAGAGCCAGCCCTTCTTCTATACCTACACCTCAGACTCAGATTCTATTTTGTTCACTGCTAGTCCAAGAATAGTATGGGCACATAGTGGGTGCTCAGTAAACATTTGCCAAGGAGTCAATACTTACTATTTTCAGTTTTTCAGTCTCCCAGGCACTGCATTAAGGAACCTAAGGGCAGGGACCAAGCACCTTGAGGCTCACAACCAGGGCGGTGCCAGCCACCACTCATCTAGTGCCCAGGCTGCATCTAAACTTCCATGCGCCCATCCTGCAGCAGCAATTGAAACAGTAACAGCTGTAGCTGCGTCTCACCTGGCTCAGACTGCCCCAGCCCTACAGCACCCCCGAAGCCCCCCACACTGCCAAGCACCCTGGGTGGTGGCAGCTCTCCAGCCTGGGGACCTGCTCCCTGCTGCCACCAGCACCAACTCCGCCCGCACCCAAGGGAGTGGGGAGGTGGCCCTGACACAGGTCTCTGCCTCAGAGGCATCCAGCGCCCTCCCTGAACCACTGACCTGACCCTGCCCACAAGGACAAGGCCAGGCTGCCCGGGCCTGGGCACGCGGGGGTGAACCGAGTGCCTGCAGAAGCAACAGGGCCGGGGACCTGTGAGGGCTGGCGGTGAGCTCCAAGCACAGGGAGCAGCAAATCCCCCTCCTTTGCACCCACGACCCGGGGGAATCATCCCGCCGACCCAGGGAGACGCCTCTGCCCACTTCCCACGAGGGGAGCCGAGGCCGGGAAGGTGGAGGGATTCACAGCGCGGGATTCGATTCTGGCGCTGGGGAGCCACGTCCGGCTCCGTCGCCCGAGGAGCTCGTCGCGCGTCTCCTCCAGCGCCGTGACCCCACTCTGCACGCGCTGGCCCCGTCCCCGCGTCCCTCTCGGTCCCCACGGTCCCCGCTGCTGTGGAGCAGGGTCCCGGGTCGCCCCGCCCGGCTGGAGCACCGCGCTGCCTCTGTCCATGGTGGCGCGGGCCATTCATATTCTAATCACCGCGCGGCCACTCTCGGGGGCCGGGGTGCAGCCGCCGCCCCCCACTTCCACTGCCAGCCCAGCCCCCGCCTGCTCCGCGCCAGGGCGGGGTCCCTGGGAAAGCGGCGCCCGGCGGGGAGGGGACAGACAGACGGACAGGGCTGCGGGCGGGCGGGGAGGCAAGGCCTGGAGCCCGGCGAGGGACAAAGACTGGGGCGACGGAGGGGGAGAATCGGGACGCGAGGCAGGACGAGGGAGGGCCGGTGAGCGGGGCCCTGCGGCGGGGACAGGGTGAAGGCCCTGGCCCGAATCAGGACCGAAAGTCCCGGAGCAGCTGGCCAGCCCCGCGCCCTCCCCGCCAAGCGTCCTCTGTCCACCGAGGCTGCGGACGGGGTCTGCGGCTCCGGATCCCCCAGGCCCTCCACGTTCCCACGCGTGTCCGCGGATTTGCGTGGACGGAAGCTCCCGCGTCCCTCCCTGTACCTGTAGGGCCCCACCCCATGGCACCCAGGAGGACCCAGGAGGGCAGGGGCGCGGGAGGAGGCGTAGGGCCCACGCGTGGGCGCGCGAGACCCCGCCCGAGTCCCCGCGCCCCCAGCCTGCGCGGCCGGGCCGGCGGGGAGGGGGAGGGGCCGCATCTAAGCCAATTTTGATTTCGCCGTAATGAGCGCCGGGCCGGGCTGGAGAAGGCCTCTGGAACTTTAAATAAGAAAAACGTTGCTCATGCTATAATAGAAGGGGGAAGTCGGAGGGCCGGATTGCGTCGCCCCGAGCCCCCCTTTTCGGAGGCGGCTTTTCTTATTCAAAACAGGCCCACAATGGGCTTCACAGTGCGCCTGGCCACGGCCCCATCTGAGGAGCGGCCATTCATCAGGCCGGCTGGCCTATCAATGACACCGCTCCCATGGGGCTGCTATAAAATGATGCTTTTTCCCATGAAACATCCGCAAACATTTTGACGGGTCTGGCGCGGCCCGGCTGGATTACCGAGTGTCCCCTCGCCGGCTGCTGCGGCTGCTTCCCCTGCCCTTGCTCTCCGCCTTCCCTCGCCTCTCCTCGCTCCTTCTCCCCTCTTTCTTTCCCTCGCCTTTGATCCTCTTGCGCTCTCACTCTGCCCCGCGCTCTCCTCCCTCCCTTCCTCCCGGCCTCCCCGGCGTCTCTGGCACAGGGGATCCCCAAACATCGGGCTTTTCGGGGGGCGCCTGTGCTGCCCATGGGAAGAGCATGCATTGTGGGTTACTGGAGGAACCCGACATGGATTCCACAGGTCAGTGCTGCTGCGGGCGGCGGCCTGGGGGCAGGGAGGGCCGGAACTGCACGGAGACTTGCAAAACTTCAGACCCTGGAACTTGACAGTGGGACCCCGGAACGGAGCAGAAAGCGTGCAGCCGTCCCAAACCCGGGCGAAGCGTGCGTGTGTGTGCGCGTGTGCGTGTCCGCGTGTGCGTGTGATGTGCGCGCTGGGGAGCGCGCTTTCGCCACCTGGGACAAAGTTCGGTGCAGATGCGCTGCTGCGGAGCTCGGGCCCCTCCTGGGCCGCCCCTCCCTGCTCGCTGCAGGGATAGCTGCGCGCTCCAACGACGGCGGGGCTGGGAAGCCCAGCGGAACGGCGGGGGGCGGGGAGGTGGGCGCGCGGCAAAGCTGGTGGTCCTGGGGGACCAGCCCTGGATCTAGAGACAGGGGACCCCAGGAATGTCCAGGCGCTGTCCCTTCCTGCCTACCCGGAAGGCCCCTGCCACTCGCTCCCCGCGAGGCTGCAGCCTGCTGGAGAGGGCTGAAGGGAGGCCTGGCCCAGGTCCGCAAACCGCTATTCGGCTTGGGCACCGCCGCGGGGCGTCAGGGTTCAGGTCTCGGGGTCCTGCAGAGCAGGGGGACAGGAGTCTTACAGCGCAGCTGCCCCGCGTGGCGGCTCCTTCGCGCCTTCAATCCTCCGTCCAAGCGCTGTGCAGAGCGCAGTTTGCAGTCTGAGTTACTCGGAGTTCACTCCCTCCCACTCAGTCACTACCCCCGCGGCGGCTGTAACTTTGAGGTTGATGGGGTGATGTGGTCCAGGAGAGTCAGGGATGGGGCGGCGGGCGCAGCCGGGGTGCGCAGGCGGCAGCTTCGGAGAGCGCCCGCCCGGAACAGCTCCCGCGGGCTCCGCCGAAGGAGCAACAAGTGCTTGCGTCTCGGGTCCCCGCCGCTCCGTCCCGTTCCGAGCAAATAAACGGCCCCGGGAAACTCTCCTGACCTCGGGCCCTAGATGATAGGACGAGGGCCTACCACCGGGGCTGTGGTCATCCGGGCACCTCTCAACCCGGCTTTCTTCGGCCCCTGCAGAAAGACCTGCTGCAGCCCCGGCCACCTGGACACGCAGCCCTCCTGCCCCAGGACCCAGGGTAGTTGTCGGCCTCTGACCCCAGGCAAGGCTCTCCCCTGTGTGGGTGCCCAGGGAGTGGGCAAAGCCCGAGTCCCCGAGGACTCTGTTCCCTCCGTGATGGTGAAGAAGGTGTCCATTTTTAAAATCTCAAGTGCCTGTGAAATTTTGCATCTCCTGAGCACCCCAACATTGAAAGCAAACATCTCTAACAAAATTAAACTCATTCTGCAGAACTGGTGGCCAAGTATTTGCAGGGTGCCCATGTGAGGTCTTGGGGCTCTTTGCACCCCGACCTATGGCTGTGGTTTTTAGCTGAGCCTCTCCATGGCTTCCGTCCCCATCAGGACAGTGGCTATTCTCTGCTTCCCAGCCTGGGTGTGTCCAGAGGTCAGGAGGTAACGGCCACCCCCACCTCGAGTGCCAACGCTGCACACGGGCTCTGCAGGCAGTCCTGTCCCCTCTGCGCTTCCTCCTTCCATACCAGGAGCCATCTCGACTCTGCCACCCAGAACTCAGAATCCAAACTTCTGGGAAGTGGCAGCGTTGAGAAATCGCTGGAGGCGCATCAGTGACATTTCACTCTTCCTTGCAAAGCCCACGGTCAAAGCACTCCTGGCGGGTCTCTGGAATGGCCCTCACCTCCTTTCCAGAGAATTTAATCCAATTAGCTTTCCTCCGAGGCCCCCTTGTTATGGAAAGGTCTCTTCTGCCTGTCTTGGTGAGACCAGCGCTCCTTGGAGCAAGCGGTTCGATTCTCGCCCTTTCGTGTGAGATCCTGCGCGACCAGAAACACGCGCGTTACCGCGATCATTTCATCCCGCAAGGGCTCGAACAGAGACAAGCGTCGGGATCAGAGGCCAGCGAGCCGCGCCCGCGTCCCTCGCTCTCGGAAGGAAAATCCCCGCGAAGAGCCGGCCTCGGGAGCGGTTTGCAGGGCCGGGCTCTCGGGGCGGCCTTGGGGCCACTTCAGCGTGACCTGCGGAAACCCTGCCCTTTGTTCCGCGCACCGAGCCGGTAATATACTCCTCGGGTTTTCCCAAAATACCCCACAAGTGCAGGCCAAGACAGAGGCCCCATCGGGGAGGCCGGAGCCGGCGCGCGCGCCTGGGCCCCGGGCGTCGGCAGCCACCGCGCCGAGCCAGGGCGCAGGGCAGCGGGCGCGAGGTCCCGGCGGTCCCGCGTGGCCCGTCCTCCCCACGCGCGCCCCCTCCAACGCCCAGGCTCCTTTACTCGGGTTACCCCGACACTCGGGAACGAAGGCCGTGGGCGCGTGGAGGTGTTGACCCCTGGATCTGGCGTGAAGTGGCCGCGGCCCGGGCTGTCGGCTGCGCCCCAGGCGCGTGGCTTCTTCCTAAACGGGACGGCGAGTTAGCGCCTCGGGCTGCGGGCTCCTCGCACTGTGCGCCCCCGCGAGCCCAGCGCGGCCAGTGTTCTCGGAGCGGAGCTGAACCCTCGGAGCCCGACGGCGGGGCGAGCGGGCGCTGGGCCACCAGGCCAGGCCCGGCTCCGCGGGGCCCGCGTGGGGACGTTCGGGGGCCTTGGCGAGGAGCCCACGGGGACAGGCAACCGAGGGAGCCGCCCCGGCCCCTGCGTCGCGCCAGCACCGCTAACCCGGCCCTGGGGTTGGTGCGGGCTGCGGGGTCACCTCGGCCACCTGCTCCGCGCCGCGGGGCTGGCGGAGGCGTCGGCATCGCCGCCAGGGCCCGGGATTCCGGGGCTGCACCCCGGGGCGTCCGCCCCAGCCTGTCGGTCCGGTCCCCGCGCGGGCCGCGGGCCGCCGGCCTAGGACCCCGGAAAGGGAGAGGGACCCCAGCTCCAGGGCTGGGATCTGCGCCACCCCCACCCCCCGCGCGCGCGTCGCCATGGAGACCGCTGGAAGTTGGTGGCGGAAAACAGACCGGGCGCAAAACAAAATATTATGAGTGCAGTCGGGTGACTTCAGGGGGCGGGGGCCCGGAGGGCAGGAGCCGAGCCAGTGGCAGGGCGACAACAAAGGGCTCGAGCGAGGAGGGAGAGGGGTCTGGGCCGCTCCGTGCACCCTGTGCGCGGGACGGAAGGCCCCGCTCGGCTGTGGCACCTGCTGGGCTGCGGCGCCCCGCTCTCTGCAGCCTCCTCCCGCCCGGTCCCAGTCCGCAGGCCCAGGCGCCAGCTGCAGGGCCGCCTCCCCGGAGCCACCCGCTCGCCAGCCTGAACGCGGCTGGCTTTTCTTCCCCGCGACCCGGGGGTCGCCCCGAGGAGTTCTCTCCTGGCCTGCTCACACCAGCTGCGAAAGGGGGATGAGCTGGGCGGGGCGCAGAGGAGGAGGTGTGGGCCTGCTGTCCTGGGCGACCCTGTGTGGTCCCTGCCCTTTGTACAGGAGAAAAGCAAGCGGAGTTGGGCCTGGGAGGACTGCGATTCTTCTGGGCCACTTGTGACTTAGGCGAATGCAGCCTTGAGGGCTGGGAGGGTGGTGCTCGGGAAGCCACGGGACCCCTCTTGGCGTGGCCTGGCTGCAGAGTCCAGGAAGCATGCACGGCAGGTGAATCTCTCCCCGAAAGGAACAGGAACTGAAACATTTTGGAGTCACGGGGTTTTAAGAGTGAGAGCTGTGGATAACCATTTTCAAAGGGTCTCTAGTTTCCTCTCACGCCAGCTGAGGTGCGTTCCTTGTAAGGATTTGCTACGAGACACTATGTTTTATGGGGCTGTGGTCTGTGTCAACTTGGGGACACAGAAGTGCTTCTGAGGCCACCATTGCAGCCCTCACATGTGTTGGCGTGGAGAACACGCTGGCCGGCCCACCAGGACGCCGCCAGCACAAGAGACAGCAGCCTCCCCGTCCAAGACTCGGCTGCCTGGCCTGAAGAGGGGTGGCCGGACCGGGGATCACCGCGCCCCTCAGAATCCAACGCACCCTCTGACGTGTGCAGTGTGAAACCTGCCCGGCGTTTGTCTGAAAAGTGGTTTTCAGGCTGCTTTCTCAGCCATCCTCGAGGGAGGAGCGATTGCCAAGCATGGGGCTTCTTCGCCCCCACTTCCAGCATGTTAAGACTGTGGTTCTGAGTCAGGTTGGGGCAGGCTTGCCTTGGGGTCTCTGTCCAAAAGGCTGAGCAGGTATAAAACGAGCCCCTCATAGGCCAGAATGCTGCATGGCTGGAGCCCCACCCCTGCCGCCATCAAGACCGCCCCTCGCGCCTCGTGTTCTGTGGGGCTTTGGGGTAGCGTCTGCTGCCCTGGGGGCCCCACCTCGGCAGGCTGGAAGAGGTGGGAGAAGCCTGTGATGCTGCGTCTACCCCTCTACTCTCCTTGCAATTGCATTAGGGTTTGGGGGTTGAACTCAGAGATTAATTGGCGGTGTTGGGTAAAAGGACAGGGAAAGAGGGAGGGAAAAGGAAGGGAAAGAGAGGAAAAGTGAAAAGCAAAGTGAAACTGAATTTTCTTCAGCCTCAGGGAGGACCTGCTGGATGGCTGGATGGCAGGTCCTGGGGATGAACACGGCCACAGTCCCTGCTGCGGAGGACGCCAGGGCTGTTTGATTAGAGAAGGCACGGGCACCGTGTGTGGTGAGCCACAGGGATGTAAAAACAGGGCCCTGAGCCGAGAGGGAGAGCTGTCCCTTCCGCTGAGCACCTACCGCGTGTCTGTCCACAGCGGGCACGTGCACAGCACAGCACAGCCCAGCGACAGCTCGGCACCTTTCCGGGTGAGCGGGTGGAAGGTGCCCTGGCAAGAGCTAGATCGAGGCCGGCCGGGGACTGCTCTTCTCCACCCAGCCCTGCCAGTCCAGCCCCTGCCAGTCAGGGCTCGGAGGACTCAAATCCAAGAGTCGAAAGCCAGCGTCGTCTCTGGGCCCAGAGGAAGCCCCTCCGAGGGAGTCCCGTGGTGCTCCTGCGCTTGGAGAGGGTTAGATGAGGCAGCAACGATGGACG